CTCTCATTTTTTATGAGTCTTACATTGGTATTAAAGTCACAATGACTCTAATAAAGTAAGACAATAATTTATTGCATTCCGCTGCCATTCTCGCACACATGGTTATTTTAATATTTTGCATTTTCCTTCATTGCTGTTGAATGGATAACACACATTTTTTTTTCCAATTACTTTTTCTTTAACATAATTTTATTTTTAAAATGTGTAATATAATTGTTTTGGCCTGGTCAGATATTACTGCTAGGAAAAGGCACCTTGCGCCACCGTGCATAGTTTACAAATTATATTTTTTAGTCAAATATTTTTTATAAAATGTTTAACCTAATGTACAATAAAAATAATCAAAGGGAAAGCCGAGGTCAAGGAAGCCAGAAATACTCAGATACTGATTAAACAAGCCAAGTTAGGGGAACCAGAATTCGTAATAACCAGGGAAAAGCCAAGATCAGTATACCAGGAAGTCAGATACACAAAGATAAACGCACTCTTGGGAACCAGGAACAGGAAACCATGACAGGGCAAGGAACTGGAGTGAATTAGGGATTTAAATATCCCTTTCTGGGCTCTGATTGGTCAGAGGGTGACCTCTGACCCCAGAACGTGCGCATGCATTGACGTCGTGACATCACGCACACGTTCGTATTAATTTGAGGGGCGGAGCTTGAGATGGACGCGACCACGTCGTCAGCGCCGTATTTGATTTGGGCGCAATGCCCAGAGAACGCGGAGGAGCGATTCCCGGCTCACCGACGAGCAGGTAAGCTTGTGATGTCGGCGAGGCCATGCCAGTTAGGCACAGCTGCGCCATGCGGCGGGCCGGAAGCCGCAACAATTGGCCAGGAGTCGAGACAGGGGAATGAGGTGTGGACCTCTTCCAGAGCTCTCTGTTCTCTGGGTGGTAGAGTATGAGGATGGTGATGAAGGGCTCTTCTAGTGTCCAGAGTTAAAGTGGAATAGGCCAACTGATGTGTTGTGTAACGGCCAAGTTTGACTCTCTCTAGCTTTCGCCATGATACCATCCTTCTGCCTGGAGTGGTTGCAGCATCTGAATTTTCTGGGTACTCCATCTCGGCACATAACACCTGAAAGCCTTTATGTAGGTGGAAGTCCTCTGGGTCCTCATTATGAGTTAAACAGTGACATCTTGTGATTTGGTCTGATCTGATTCTGGCTGCGGATCCATATTTTTTTCTCTGGTCACAGTTGTTGAGGTCATTCACCTGCCTCCTAAGATCCAGGAGCATATTGCTTTGTCTGGTGGCCGCAACTTTAGCTGCACCATGAAACTGTTCCGAATGCCTCCAGGAGAGCTCTAGTGTGGAGATTTGCTCATCCAGGATTGTATTTGCGGAAGTCAGATAATTCCCGGTGGATTGTCCCTTTAACCCCTTAAGGACTGGACTGTTTTTGCGATGTTGTACATTTGCGACCAGGCCTCTTTTTACACTTTTGTGGTGTTTGTGTTTAGCTGTAATTTTCCACTCTCTCATTTACTGTTCCTATACAAATTATATATTGTTTTTTTTCAGGACAAAAAGGGATTTCTTTACATACCATTATTTATATAATCTCATGTAATTTAATTTAAAAAAAAAAAATTTGATGAAAAATTTAAAAAATACATGTTTTTTGACTTTTACTTGAAAAATCTTTTACTCATCTACAAACGCGAATAATAAAAACCTGCTAACTAGATTCAAACTTTTGTCCTGAGTTTTAAAATACCCAGTGTTTACATGCTTTTTTGCTTTTTTTTGCAAGTTATAGGGCTGTAGGTACAAGTAGGATATTGCGGTTTCAAAACATAATTTTTTTCAAATTTATCAATAGTGACATTGTAACACTATTATCTGTCATAAATCTCTGAATAACACCCCACATGTACATATTTTTTTAAAGTAGACAACCCAGGGTATTAAATATGGGGTATGTCCATTTTTTTTTAGTAGCCACCTAGTCACAAACACTGGCCAAAGTTAGTGTTCATATTTGTTTGTGTGTGAAAAAAGTAAAAAACTAAATTGAATGCTAATTTTGGCCAGTGTTTGTGACTAAGTGGCTACTAAAGAAGACTGGACATACCCCATTTGCAATACCTTGGGTTGTCTTCTTTTGCAAATGGTATGCCATCCTGGGGGTAATTCTCATTCCTGGGCTACCATACGCTCTCAAAGGCAACGTAACCAACCTGTTAATTTTCAATGTAAAAATATTTGACCCATATATTTGACCCTGTAACTTTCAAAAACGCTATAAAATCTGTACATGGGGGGTACTGTTATACTCGGGAGACTTTGCTGAACACAAATATTAGTGTTTCAAAACAGGAAAACGTATCACAACAATTATATCATCAGTAAAAGTGCTGTTTGTGTGTGAAAAATGCGAAAAAGTCACTTTCACTGACAATATCATTGCTGTGATATGTTTTACTGTTTTGAATCACTAATATTTGTGTTTGTGAAGTCTCCCGAGTAAAACGGTAACCCCCATGTACAGGTTTTAGGGTGTCATAGAAAGTTACAGGGTAAAATACATTGCTAATATATTAAATTATCTGGACTTTCGGCCTGGGTTGGCAGGCAGGTCCCCCAAATTGCAATTAATAAAATTACTTAATTATGTAAAAATATTACATAAATACGCACGTAGAATTTAAATATATATGCATATTTATATATTTGAAGTCTACGTGTATATTTATATAATTATTTAATTATTTATGTAAATTTGTATACGGACATATGTATATTTCGTATTATTTTTATTTATTTATATACATAGATATATATACAATTTCATTCTAAGTGTATTTTGATATAAATATATATATTTTAATATCAAAATACAGTTAGAATAAAATTTCATATAGATATATAATTTTTTTTAATTTTTATTATTATTTTTAAAACATTTTATTTAATTTAATCTACTTATTATTTGTATTTTATAGTAATATATATACAATATATATATAGTTATTATATATATATATATTATATATATGTGTAATTTATTTATAAGTGTATTTTTATATTAATATATGTACATATTAATATAAAAATACACTTAGTATAATATATGTCTATATATATATAGACCATGTGATTGCTCTGTTCAGCGATCACACGGCCACGGGGGTCCTAATCCGCCATAAGGAGACTGTCTGGGCTGCATGCAGTCTCCCCACAACGGGAGCACCGCCGATCACCGCCGGGGGAACAACAGCGATTGGGTAAGTACATCTTACCGTTAGGACAGTTCAGGACCGTCATCGGTCGGCAATGCAAAAATGCCGATGACGGTCCTAAACCGTCCTCATTCCTTAAGGGGTTAAGACATTACTTTAGGGATGCTGCATCTGTTTTCATAACCCTAGAGGTGATCAGTTCTAAGCTGCTCCAGAGGAGATTACATTTCTAATTCACCCTGATTCGAGGTAACTGGGCTACTGGGTGTAGACATTGAGGCTGCCATGCGGTGAAGCCTCCAAGTCCACAAGGTCCACAGAGGTCAAAAGGTAAGCATCCATAGTGCCGGATCTGTAGGGCATGGGCTGTCTGAGTATAGTGTGCAGGGTGCTCCTCTTGTTCCTGTTGCAGCCCATGAATAGCGGTTGTTAGACAATTTTACTGCTAAAGTGAGGCAGATGAGTGGGAGCTTAAGAATCAAGCTGCCATCTTGACCATGTGCCGGGCAATGCTCCTTTTATTTTTTATTATTAGATTTTAAATTTTTCGATTTATATATATTTTTTTTTATAGATTCCGTTTTATGCCGTTTATCTTACTAGGTGTCTACATAATTTTTTTATGACTTTCGGAATCGATATGTGCATTTTATTTATCTGTATTTTATTGATTTTGGCATCCAGTTTTATATGTTTGTATCAACTGATTGACTACTTATATACGGTGTCTTTAATGGAATTATGCTTTTAACATAAACTAGTTTTTTTTTGCCTTCTTTTGGATCAACAGCAAAAAACTAGTGTGAGGAAGGCTGAACTTGATGGAAGCAAGTCTCTTTTCAGCTATGTAATTATGTAACTCCTCAAGTCATTTAATATGGCACTATTAGTTTTTTTTCTACATTATATATATTTTATTTTAAAAAAAATCTGTTTTGAAAAGAGTGATTTTTTTAAATATATTTTTTCTTTGTTTAAGGCATTCTATTTTTACCTATTATTTATTTTAATTTAGATCTATTTATACAAATGTAGGCTTTTTATTACTTTTTGATAAGACATCATGCTTTAAAAAAAAAAAAAATTCAGTTTTAAGCAATTCCCCACTTTGCCCCATATGCTGTTCTGTTAGACTGTTTTACATTATAATGTTTTAAGTTTCAAATTTTGGATGCTACATTTATTACACTCAATATCATTTGTGTGCAATAATCATCATGCCATTTGTAAAATATTCATGCTATTTTACCTAAAATGCAACTTGTACAGGCACCGAGCCTATCATTTTTCTTTTATAGTTCTCCAAAAGCCAGTTAGTACACTATCTACATGCAATGTTACTTCATTTTACTGTGCTCATGCATATAGTCATAATGCCATCTTAAATGGGGGTTTCATATCTACATTGTCTGACATAATATCTAGCTTGTCTTTTCATATTCCAGTACGGTACTTTTGCATTGGGAGTTGCCTTGGAAACCCATGTCCTAGACTAATTTTTATGCAGTTTAAATTTTCCCCACAAATGTTCTCTAGGTATCTTAATGTGTAATAGGACATCCAGCAAATTCTGTTTAAATTTTTCTATATTTACATAGAAAATTCATTGTAAAACAGGGATTGGGGGTCGTGGCTACCGGCCGGGCAAGATGGACGCTTAATCTTTAGCTCCAGAGTCTGAGCTCCTCAAATATAAAAAAAAACTGAGGCAAGCAGAAACGTTACATTTCTTAAAGCAAGATGTCTCACCCCAAGAACAAAAAGCAGCAAGCCAAAGCCGAGAGGCTTAATTTTTTTCGTCCAAAAACAAATGTCTGCGAGTCAGGCCGCGCAGACACTCAACCAAGATAGCGGAAGTGACTCAGGAGCGAGTAGCCCTTCACATGACTCAGAAGCCAAGAACTCTGAGGAGACAATCACGAAACAATTCTTAATGGAACAACTTGACGTACTTACGCAAAAACTACTTACATCTTGGACAAAAAGCTTTGACAGCTTGAAGAAAGACGTCCAAGAAATGGGGACCCGTATCTTGCATGTGGAGGAGAAAATGGAAGAATATATGGAGGCGCATAACAACTTGGCAGACCATGGGCAAGCAATGGAGGAGAAAGTGCAACAATTAGAAAACAAACTTATAGACCTAGAGGATCGAGCAAGGTGGAATAGCCTCCACATTAGGGCATCCCCAAAGAATTGACAAATGCTGGCTTACCTGCCTTCCTGAATTAACTCCTCCAAGCCTTGGCTCCAGACATCCCAGCGGACATGCTCCTATTAGATAGAGCACACCGAGTTCCTAAGCCAAGACACCTACCGGCCTCTACTTCCAGAGATGTAGTCCTGTGTGCACACTACAACCATATAAAAGAGCTCATATTGAGAAACAGCAGGACAATGAAAAATCTGCCTCTGAAGTTCAACCATATCATAGTATTCACAGACTTATCAACGACAACACTACGGAGAAGACAGGCATTCCAAAGGACTCTGTGACATCACTAAATAATCTACAGATAGGGATACTCATTGAAGTTGATCATTCTCAAGAATGGATTTACGACAGTCATTGAGACACCAGATGAAGGAGAAAAACTGATGGAGAAATGGTGAATTCAACCAGAACTGAACATACCATTACCTGCTGGACAACCTTTGGCTGAAACTCAAATGGAAACAGATGAAAATGTGAGAACCCACTCCCATCAAGTTTTCCACTTTAGATGAGACTCAACGGTAGATCAGAACTGGTAATATAAATTTACAGAGACACTATTAATACACCAAAATGGACGCTACTAGACTGCAAGTATTTTCAAGTATGGACTTATATCTAGTTAAAAAAAAAAGGGGAGGGGAGGGAATGATACTGTTAAAGGATTACTATAGTGTCAGGAAGACAAACCCGTTTTCCTGACACTATAGTGCCGTAAGTGTGCCCCCACCCTCAGGGTCCCCCTCCCTTGCCACTGAAGGGGTTCAGCAGCTTACCTTAATCCAGCGTGGGGCTCCCTCTGTCAGGTGACCTCTCCTCCTCCACCAATGTCAGCTGCCGAGTGGAGCGGAATGCGCATGCGCGGCAAGTGCCGCGCACGCATTCAAACAGTCCATGGGAAAGCATTTCTCAATGCTTTCCTATGGACCTTCTGCACGTTGGATGCAAATTTCACATCAAGCTTCGCAGATGTGCCTCTAACGGCTGTCAGGAAGACAGCCACTAGAGGTTGGATTAACCCTGCTATGTAAACATAGCAGTTTCTTTGAAACTGCTATGTTTACATGTGAAGGGTTAAAACCTGAGGGACCTGGCACCCAAGCCATTTCAATGAGCTGAAGTGGTCTGGGTGACTATAGTGTCCCTTTACTGCTAAAACTTGTGGCCACAACATACTGAGGGTGGCGATGTTGGCAGCTACCCACCCAGGGTAGTCGGCTGTGGCTAAAATGGCTTATCTTAAAAGCCATTGTTGAAATGTATATGGGTGGATGAGAACTTATTTATGCTGTGCCACACTAATATAAACACTTTTGGTATGTGTTTAAATTTATAGGGGTTATCCCCCAAATAGGAGATATCTGCATAGTTTGGCTCCCGTTTTTTCCTTTCTATTTCTTTTTCTCTAGACCGCATCCTGCCCAAAATAGTTCCAAGGAAAAAGTTGTAGTGGTCCGCCAAGTTCGGTAGCTTAAAAGAAAACAAATCTATTGACATACCGTGGAGCTTGTTCCCTTCATCCAGAAAAACAATCCCACCGAACAGTGTTCTTCTAAGTTATATAAAAACTGAACACAGGCGATCATGGAAGTCCGGCGGTGTTCGGCAGTTTCAGTGTCCGTTTTAAGTTCCATGAACTCAACGACCAAACGCCGCTGCTTGCGTTCGTGCGAACAAGATGACCGCCACCACTTGTTCGTGAATACGAATGGCAGCCACCCAGATGAACCATTAGAAAACTGCAGTTAGGATCATTACAATGTATCAATTAGGCTTAATAAGCTGCCGGGTGGTCCATAGTTCTTGCGACAGTTCGGTTCCCAAACAGCATAGGGAATTACACGAACCAAGCCAGTTAAATAGTCTTTCACAGGTTTCCCTGTAGGGTCCATAATATGCGGTCAGGAGGCTGGAAAGCAGGCTCCTCCATGAGCTTGTGGCAAACTCACTTGTGAAGGGGAGTTTGTCACAATAACAGCAAAAAGATGCTTGCCATGAAGAGGTAGAATCATTTTGAGATTGGAAAAGTAATTATAAGTTGCATTTTCAGTTGAATTTGGGGAAACCATTTGAAGCATCCATTGTGTTGAGCTATTTCAATTGCTTTTGTGTGATTTGTTCATTGGAGACAGCTGAAAGTCTGTAGATTTTGACAATAAACCTGATTTTTAATGGGGGTTGAATCATTTTGATTACAACTGTACAAATTCAGAAGCTCTGTAAAAAGAATGTATACAAATCATGATTTAATGCTTATGTTTTATATCTAGAAATACATTGATACATATTTTTGTGTATTTGTATGTAACCATAATATAATAAGCACAATCACGTCATTCTTCTAATAATGGACGAGATGTTAAAAGAATATCTTAACATGTTTAATGATTAAATAATTTGTATTGTGTAATTAACTGACTAGATATATTAATAAATCTTGTTACAAGTTACTTTGTACATTTTTATTATATTTATTAATGTTGAGGTGTTACAAGGAAAGGAAAGGTTAAATGATTTTAACATGTATAGCTTGGAGGAAAGACAAGATATGGGTATATGATAGAAACATTTACATACATAAAGGGAATCAACACAGTAAAGGAGGAGACTATATTTAAAAGAAGAAAAACTACCACAACAAGAGAACATAGTCTTAAATTAAAGGGGCAAAGGTTTAAAAATAATATCAGGAAGTATTACTTTACTGAGAGGGTAGTGGATGCATGGAATAGCTTTCCAGCTGAAGTGGTAGAGGTTAACACAGTGAAGGCGTTTAAGCATGCGTAGAATAGGCATAAGGCTATCCTAACTATAAGATAAGGCCAGGGACTAATTAAAGTATTTAGAAAATTGGGCAGACTAGATGGGGTGAATGGTTCTTATCTGCCGTCACATTCTATGTTTCTATGTGTTTGTAATTTATAAACAATTAATAACAAAAGGCAAGATGAATGCTGAAAATAAAAGGTTGGATTCATTAAGCAGAGTAAAGCCTTATTCTAATAAGGAAATCCAGCATAAAATCTAAAATAGTTCCCATGTTTCTATGTTTTCATCTATATGCCAAATAGATGAACCAGAATTATATTTTCTATGAGACTAATGCTAAATTTGATAAACAAGATTTATCTCCCCTATCTAAATATATAATTTTTAGCTTAGATCACAAATTATATAAAGATCAAACATTTGACATTTAAACATGTATAATGAATTGAGTCTCAAAATACTTTTTTCCTACACTATAAATTAATAACTGTTATATCTGTGTTAATGTGAGCTGCTATTAGCATATCTTATATTTGTGTAACCTTTTTCAAATTATCAAATGTAAAAGATGAAAAATACATTACAATGTCTGATTGTGGAAAATTAAATGAATAAATTCAAAAAATATAGAATTTTGATTTACATTACAATGCAGCATTAATATAGAAAAACTACATACCTACATAGGCAACGTATGTGTGTGTATATGTGTATGTATATATATATATATATATACATATATATATATATATAAACATAGAGACAGGGGTGCACTCACAGGTCTTGGAAAAAGTGGCAACTGATTTATTTGAACGAAAAAATCTTCAATACATCTGTGACAAAAATCAATGTTTCGACCCCTAAGGGTCTTTCTCAAGATCGATCTTGAGAAAGACCCTTAGGGGTCGAAACTTCGATTTTTGTCACTGATGCATTGAAGATTTTTTCATTCAAATAAATCAGTTGCCACTTTTTCCAAGACCTGTGAGTGCACCCCTGTCTCTATGTTTATATATTTCTAATGCGGGCAGCACCTAGGCAAATTTGCTTTTGTTCCTTTTTCCAAGGAGAGTGCCAAGCTGTTCTACATTGTGCATATATATATATATATATATATATATATATATATATATATATATATACACACACACACACACACACACACATATATATATATATATATATATATATACACACACACACACACATACACACATATTTACATATATACACATATATACATATATAAAGGAAAATTTATTCCTACATACCGTAATTTTCTTTTCCTGATCATAGGCCATGGCAGCACAACAATGGGTAGCTCCTCCCTATCCATAACCAGACAGGAACCTAATTAAAACAGAAGGTATAAGTAACCCCTCCTCCTTAGTAGCCTAAAAAACAGCCATGACTATTCATCTGCTGATGGCTTATATAGAGGCTTGAAGATCTTTATGGTCTATTAGTAAAGATAAACAGACTATCAGAAGAAATCCAGAAAGTAGATCTATAGGAATAGATCTTAAGACATCTATCTAGGACAGGAGGAGAACGATTTAGTACGGACTCTACATTCTAATCAATAGGGTTTAGATGCAGTAAAGGGTTCTATGCAAAATAGGGCTTGAGGGTCTAATATCCTTCAGTCCATGATAATGTCACCGATAGAGCTAACTTAATATTAAGCAATTATGGAGAGAAATACTCTCATGGTTGAAAGGGGTGAAGATTTCAGAGCCCTAAAAAAAAAATCAGGGAAGAATTCCACGGGCAGCAATGGATAACCGTGGGATCATATAAATACAGCCGACATAAATTTAGATAATTCCATATCAAAGCCCTTTAACAAAAAGAGAGATCAGTTACTTTTACATAGTGTATTGGCACACATTTTATTTACAATGAGGACTCAGTCAGCCCTGTTGGGAATTGAACCTGTTAGCCCCAAGATGAACAGATTCTTCTGATGAGGTATTAGCCCACTGAGCTATCTAACCACATTTAGATGATGCACCTGCAATAAAAGGTTTAACAGAGGCCTAGGAATAAGTGAATCCAGAGGCTATAATAGAAGGCCCAACACAGGCCTAGAAAAAATTTATTCTAGCTGCTATATTAAAAACCATAAAGGCCTAGGAATAAAACACAGAAGCCTAGGAAAAAGTGACTCCAGTGGCTATATTAAAAGGCCCAACAGAGGCCTAGGAATAAATTAA